TCTTTTTAAGTGGGAGAACTTGCACAATTGGTGACTGACTAAATACTTATTTTCCCCACTGTATATTGAATAAAAACCTGAATATTGAGAAGATTTATTTTACTTACCATCAGTGGTGATGAACATATTCAAAAGATTTACTTGAATAATTTAAAAATACATTTGACTGGGTAAAAGAGGTTGTTCATTACTATCTTTTAAAAAAATGGAAACGTTCCTATTACTTTGTTGATTTGTCTCTAAGCTAAGAACTGGTGTTAATAAAGTAGCTAAATATATTAGCATATAATGCCTGAGACCAATTTTATTAGATAATTCTTTAAGTTCTTGAAAGTTTGGAAATTATTAGGTTGTTTGGTTTGATGCATAACCGTAATTGTTTCTATGCAATTTAATTGTTGTTAAAGGTTTTACTATTAACAGGAAAATATGTTTCTGATTCATTAACAATAAGTTTTTTTTATCAGATTTGCCACAAATTACAGGACAAACAAATAAACTTAATTTATCTTCCAAAACGCATTTGTACGTAATACTTATAGTTTGAAATATCATGTTTTTGGCATAGTAGAAAAAATGCACCTAGCTTTAGGAAAGGTCTTGTAAAAGAATTCTAGGAGATGATTTATTACAGAAAAAAGATAATTACACCTGGATGATAATATCTGGACCAAAAGTCAGAATACACAAACTATATCACATAAAATCTGCTTGACTTCTAGTGTTATAAAAGTTGTACTATGTGCTCAGATGTTTGAAAAAAAGAAAATAATGGTGAGGAGAGCAAACTCAAAAGGTGGTTTATAGAAAAAAAAGATTCCTACGGCAATTGTTCATTTCATTAAAAAAGCTATTTGGTGACTTCTAATGAATAGAAATGAACTTTCTTGTGCGTGTTGTCTTTGAAAGAAAAGCATCTTTTATTTTCTCTTCTTTCTTTTTTTATTCCACTGAGAGTACTTATTAGGTTACATGAAACTAATGTGCATTTTATGAAAATCTACCCAGTTGGAAGCAGTAAGTAGATTATCAAACATAGAGTTTGTAATAACTCAATGGAAAGTGCATGTACCATCATCACTATTAGTCAGATCTATTCAAAAGTCCAGGAAATTAATTTCAGTAATCTTTATAGAATGCATTATCATAATTATCAACTTTAATGGTTGAAAATGTTCTGTTAGGAAACAGAATGGCAGGCACACAAGGTGAAAGGCATCTTTGGCGTTCAGATTTACAGACACGGCTCTTAAGCAAGTCAGCTTGGTCGATTCAGARGCTGGAATAAAAGTAGTT